CTCAGACAAGGCAACGGTGGCCTGGCCCGTGTTGTTTAGATGAGGCCAAATAGATTCATTTTATTCCTAGATTATTCTTGTAAATCCGTTGTATTCAATTAATATATTTTTTAAATAACTGAAAAATAATGTTTATCATATACCTTCATACATCAAATATAGGAATTTGTACAATATCACTGGTAAAATTATTATATTACGAATTATATGATCAGGCGCGGGGGTTGCGAGCCACGCGGGCGGAGGTCACTGGCTTGAAGAATAGGCAGGCGCTCTATTCCCGCCAGTGATGACAACCAGTGCTGGCTGTCAGCGTCACTGGCGGCCAGCACTGGCTTCGTCTAAACCTTACTAAAGAGAAATAGTTTACTACGATCAACAATACGGACTAGATGTCGGGTCGGCGCAAGAAATCAAAATATATATGTTATTTAATTTATGTCTTTTCATAGTTTATATTCATGCGGACAGTATTTAGCTATGATTTTGTAAGTGACCCGTTATCTAGTTGGTATTGTTTATCGAAGACTACACACTAAAACCTTTTATTTAAAAAAATGTTACTCATTATATTTTTTTTATATTACAGAACTCCTAATATTTAGTATACTTTTAAGTGCTAGCATTTAAAGGAAGCAATATGAAAATCTCTCTAAGGATGTTTATAATATGAAACTTTTTATACTATATTTTTCAGATACTGTCAGTGAAAATGCCTGCGATACATTAAAATAATTTAAATTTCAATATAATACACAAAAGGAAGCAGTAACATCGTGATTATGAATTTAATGCATGGTTTGTTTACACACAATTGCTTGCATTATGTGAAGCATTTCTAGAGGGAGTATTACACTCATTGTTTTTCATTGTTATAAAATAAAACACGAGAAAAAATATTTATCATTTTATTTGTCTATTATTGTTTTAAATTTTAATATGGCGTCTTATTTGTGATGTTAATTATATTAACAGGCTAAGAACTTACTTACTACTACTTCCTAGCAATTGATATATCACAATATTACATATTTGAGAATTACATTTACAATAATTACATTAGTAGTACATAGTAGTAGTTACATTAGATAAAACTATATTATAAATTAGAGAATTTGGAAATGTTCAAAAGCACTCTTTAATCCTTTCCCTTTCCCATGAATCATACATGAACATTTCAATTGTTTAACTAGTGTGTCCGTTTCGTGGACAGGGAAACTATTAAAGAACCAGTTTAGAATAGCAGTTGAAGCAGTAATGTTACAAACAAAATCGTAATTTTAACAACTGTTTACTTTTTATACATTGTATCATACACATAATCTGTAATAGCGAGAAATAGTATAATGGTATAGAAACTACCAAATAATAAAAACTAAATGAAGTAGAATAAAAATAAAAATCCATCATAGTTTTGAAACCATTTTTTTAACACATTAAACCCTGGTGCTTTCAATTCAATACAAAATCTCAGATAATACTTATCAGCAAGATAGAGCAACGTAAAATATCATAAGCACATAATTGAACACATTCAACCCTATATTAAAATGCAAAAATAAATCGACAATAATCGTGGAAAAACTTTTTATTTTATTTTTTTTGATAACGCAGATTAAGATAGTTAAGATGCTAGGTTTTGCACCTTTGCATTTTTAGAAACATTTGCAATAGACAAAGGCCCCACACAAATTGTAACCGACAAATTGTGGACAATAATATTTGTATTCACAAACATGCTCAAGTATAAAATCAATGCTATGATAACAAGCTATTAATTTCATGAAAAGTACCCAAAGGACTACTTGTTGTGCACACATCATGAGTTGAGTTATGAATAAATAAACATCAAATGATGAAAACAACGTACATTGTGGAATTGAATTCTCTGCTCTAATCCGTGTTTAACCGTCTTGATATATTTATAATATTGTCGTCGTCGGCATTGTGATCATCAAAAATATTAGGAAAGTCATGTATCACTATACTTCTGATGATCGTTCTTTTTAGGTTAATTCTCTCAAGAATATAATTATTATATTCTTCTTCGCTATTGTAATCCATCGTAATTTTTCATACAAAGCAAATCAGAATAAAATGCAATTCTAATGACTGAGGGAATCAACAAACTAAAAATTTCACACTTGTGTTGATTTGTCGCATTATGCATAGCGTTTAATAGCTGGTGAGCTACTTTACTCACATAGGGTCTCTCAAATTTTATTTATGATAAAGTTCTATGTACCATGTGCGTGCAAGTTCACTGTGGGACTTCATAGCAATGTTTGTGAATACAGTTGTAAATAAATGACTTATAGAGTATAATATATTAATAAAACTATAACTTTCTTACTAAATTATAATTTTGGTTTAATCAATTAGACAATTTTAAGTACCTTCTCATTGATGCTACAACAGGACAAGTTTATAAAATTGTTTAAGTAATTAAATATATTTATTCAATACCTAAGGAGATAAAAATGAATCAATAATAATTTATAACCCACAGTTCAACAAACAGTTAAACAGCTGATCTAAAATTATAGAGCGTTTGTTAATCTTAAATATCACATTAATAAATGCGTTTTTATATAGTTAGATACCTAATAGGAGATTATAGAAGGCAATAAGACTTAAGCAATCTGTCATAAATTATTCTGTCATAGATAACTGATAGCCCAGTAAGCAATAGTCTTGTAATACTTATAAAACTAAATGCAATGTTGAAAGTAGGAACATTTAGTAAAATAAAATTATTATTACATTAAAAATTGGAAATAAATTGTTATAGTTGCTGTACTTATATTATATCCTTTGATACCAATAAATGTAAAGTTTATGGTTATCACATTGTTATAAAGAATTTAATGATTTTAATTTAATAAATAAAATATATACCACAGCAAAAGTATCGATTAACATAATAAAAAGCAAGATAATACTTAAATAAATGGGTTTAAAACTTACTAGAAAATATTCTATGAGATTGAAACGAGACTTGTGAAATTATAAAATGGAATTAAGTAAGTAATAATGTTATAATTTTAACTAAAAATGCGCAAAGTACTTGTTAACTTTAAATATTAATATCATTCCTCATCAACCATTAGCAATAGACTGTTAGCAGTCCATTGTTAAAAATCCCAATGCGTTTCACATTTTTGACGTTGCTTTCCGCTGCCTGACATCTGGTGGGTGTGTTCCGCGATATACACTGACCACTGTAAGGGGTGTGAGTGACATCAATTCTGTATACTGTGAAGACGTTCCTTTATAGTTTGCTATATTGGGTCCTTTTTAAACCAATACAGTCCAGTATACTGTTATCCCCAATTTTCAACACTGTTTTCCAATGAAAATATTTATCATGTACACGTTATCTGTTCAATAAGAAAAAAAATTAAAATATTCCCACACTAGGACTTTCTCCAGTATCGTGGAGGCAGTTAACATACATAAATTGCACAAGGACAAATATCCAGACCCGGAACAATTACTTGTAGGCCATACAAATACTTGTTCCGTGCGGGATTCGAACCCGCGGCCCTCAGCGCTATAACTCATTGCTAAGCCACTGCGCCACGGAACCTTCAAAATATTATTATTTGAATGTTGTTGCTTTTAAAACTTAATGTCCGAGTTTATTTGAATAATAATAATCATTCGTTGAAACTGTTAAGGGCAAATATAACCTCAAATGGCTTAGCAAGATCCTCTGTTATGCCGAAAATATTGCAGCATTAATTTTGAAAGAAATATATGGTAAAGTTGAGGATTAATTTTAAGGACTATGTTAGACGAAAACACGATTCCGTAAAATTTTCTCGATAGAAAAAAAATCCAAAGTTATCTCCAAAATATACAATAAACCGCTATTAATCATAAAATACTTTAAATAATATCATGAAACTTTGCATATTAACTGAACTAACTATAAAGCAGTGCTTATGTTATTTACTTTTTTTAAAATACCATTTATTTTCACTGTAAAAAGAAATTACCTAAACTATCGGCCTCTTGAAGCTTGATTCCTGCCACCCGGTCAGTTTCGCTTCGGTCTTTGAAGGGGGAGGTTGTGTCACTTACGATCAGAATACACATTACGCAACAGGACGACGTCAAATTAAAATGGGAAATAACCGTAATAAAAATAAGAAGCGACTGGGTTGGCGTTAAGAAACAGGCACAAATATGATAAACCTAATGAAATAAGTATCTAACGACCTATCTACTTACAGTATTAGTGATTACAAACATGTCGGTACATAGCATACGACGCGCGGGGAAGTGGGGGCGAAATTAGAATTTGAGCTGACTTTCTATATCCCCTTAAATCTCTAGGCGCTGTTATGATTTTTAATCACGTGATCAACGTACTTAGAGCACCTTACCTCTAAAGCGCCAGTGCTCATAGTACAACAATGGCAGCGATTTTCAACGTCATATATTTCCGTAGGGTACTGCGGCAGTATACTGGCAGTCCATAACCAAACGAATTTTTCACCAGTGAGAGCACAGAACAGTGGTCGCATGGTATATCGGAACACGACCGGTATTAATACAGGGTAATGGCTTATTTTTTATCTGTTGTTTTGTTTTATAGCTTGAAATAAAAAATACTGTGATTGCCAAGTGTGGCGACTACGGCAAATATCCCATTTCGTATCAACTAATATCTTCTCATGATAAAAAAATCTATGGGGGCGCCTATGTTCAGCAGATTCGATCTAAAAACATTTTGTATGCCAGTGCAGTTATAAATATTTTGTATGCTAGTGTAGTTATAACGCCCAACAATGTTTTTCACATTTTGGTAATAGTAGAATTACAACTTAACCCACATATTTTAAAGTAGAATTAGTCTGAGAATTGTATTATTCTTTTAAGCATAAGTTCCTAAACTAAACAGAATACTTTGGTCGATTATAAAAATAAATGGCAGTATTCGGAACTCAATAACTCAGTAAAGTATGTACTCTGCGCATCACTAGTTAAAAAAATTATAACTCATCATGTTTAAAATGCATTCCTCCAAGACCTATTTTGTCTAAACCAGCAAGTAAGTCGGTGTCATAATTGGCTAAATGAGGCCTTATATCATTAATAATGCCTGAATAATCCCTAATTTTTAAAGAAATAACACTGCTATAGCTTTGGTATAGATTCCTTGTTAAATATAACCTAAGAGATGGGTAACTAGTGATGTGCTCGTGTTGACAGAGATTGCGTTCCGTTATGCAGTTCACTTTGCCGAAATTAACGACGTTGCCGAGGAACTGAAAAAGAAAATACATTAATTGACATTCTATCATATTACTACATTATGCATTGATAATTTATTAGGTCGCACAATATATTTTATAATTAATGTTATGCTTCTCCAATGTTGTTTCATAAACTGTAATGTTCAGCACTTCACGACTATATGTATGTAACTCTGGTGGGAATCATGGTAAGCTTTGTTTTAACCATGGAGTATAGAGGTAAGGAGGACAATCTCCCATATCAGAATAGTTGAAAATGTGTCCATCTGTAAGCAGTAAATAACAGTTCAAAAACTCTCCACAACAGTACTCGAGGAGCTACAGGGAATGATAAATCGCCGTAAAATACGTGGAGTGATTTTGAAAATAAAAATTTTGAAAGTATTAAAATAATTATTGTAAAAAGAAATATGGTGAAAGTCTGTGCAATAAAAAATTATAAAAAGTTCTTTAAACTTTAGACTGTAGCTACAGTGGCGCCTCCCTTATTTAGCGCTTTCCTACGGACACTTTTATACAGAGTATGTACTCCTTACCTCTACACTCCATAGTTTTAACGTTTGAAGTTTGGTTTCATTGTATTGTGTTGTAGCATCTGTCGTCGCATCACAAGCGAAACGCACCGAAAGCCTAAATCGCACTATCAAAATTCTGAAATTACTGCGCTATGGATATAGTACAGCTCTGTACTAACATACACGGAATGTTGCCCCGGCGAGAGATCCCTTTTTCCTACGACGGCCAAAGTGTGAATGTATCAGAATCAATTATACCAGCTTCTTTTTCGTATTATTGAATAAAACTAATTTTACCTCCATGGCCATAGATTGTCGAGAAATGGCGGCGTAAGATAGCTCACAACCTACCTACCTAGGGAAATGACACCGGACATGGGCAGTAGTATCTTCCTGACAATAACTCAAAATAACAAAAAAACTGGTTGCCAAATTTTTCTTAAGACTTCTTTCTAAGTTTTATAAACTTAAACTCCACCTTGCTTACTTATATCTCAAAATTCATCTACTTCACATACAATAATCTTTTAATGTAAATGGTTGTTGTAATGTTTTCATGGTAAAGTAAACTCTTGCAGTACTGTTACCTTGATATATGAATATTTTACAGAAGGCATAGATGGCTACACAACCGAAGGTCTCATTACATTCAGTGGTGTAGCTTTCCATCCAATTATTATTCATTTTTAGTTTGTAGCCATCATTGATAAGAAATCATTATTGAAGCCATTATTATTGTCATTTGCCACAATCTTTGCATGATATGAGATGCACTGATGAATTTTCTTGCTGCTACTTTACCAGGGAAATTAAATTATTAATATAAAAATTGTTGAACAACCACTTACAATTGCTGCAATCGCAAAATCCGGATACTTTTCGTAGCAATGGTAACACCTCGGCGAATGGAAGTATACCAACCAAGGCTTCTTGTTCCTAGAAACGGGTAATTTATTAAAACAAATAACTACAAGACAAAACTTAGCAAACAATATTCGCAAAATAAATTTATTAAAATACAAACACACAATCCATCTTTTATAATAGTATAAGGGTGGTGTAGACCATAAGCACCTACATACCTACATCTATCCTCGATTAAGAATCAAATGTGTTGACAGTTACCCCTCAGTGCTTAGAGGAAATGTCTCGTTACCATCACAAAGGAATCGCCGTCACCTACCATACAAAACACAGCAGCATCATGCTCCTAATTTACACAGGTATTCAGTACAAGGGTGGTCCTTCCTCGGTTGAGCCAATCCAAGAGTGGTGCAGTGTTCTCTACCACCTCTCTCTACCGGCTCTACCACCTTTACAGTACATTAATTCTTTCATTACAGCTACTCTCTCTAGTTTTTTATTCACACAATATATTTGATTTGTCAAGACGACGCTTCACAGCCATAGAATACTATAATACACACATAATAGAACGGGGGAGTGGGCGGAGCCCGTGTAGCCACTAAAACGATTCACACATATAACTGTCAACACGAGATGTGTTGCGTTACAATCTGTTTCCAAATTTCGCATGCAAATTATTTAGAAAATGATTTGCTGATCATGAGGTCCTGGGTTCGAATCCCGGGTCGGGCGAAAAACTTAATTATTGAGTTTTTCCGTCAAGAAATTCTCAATAGCTGCCCGGAGTCAGGAAGTTGGCGGTGTCTCACCCCCGTGCTTCGGAAAGCCGTTGGTCATGCGCCTGATCTCTCTCCGGTCGTGTCGATTTACTGTCCCATCGGAATATGAGAGTGATGGAATAGAGAGTGCACCTGTGCTTGCGCATACACTTGGGCACTATAATCCTGTCCTGCGCCGATGGCTAGCATCTGTTGAGGCTGGCCGCCGTGACCAAAATTCGGTCTGGAGGACATTATTTAGAAAATGCCAAATTGCACACTATTTACAAATAAATATGTATTAAAATTTAAACGATTTTTTAAAATTATGATCTTGAACATTATAATCAAAAGTCTAAAATATTTAAATTTACTCAGCCTGTCAACTTAGCGAATCGGGTTAGTAGTAGTAATAATACGACGTTATTGCTTGTATGTGTGCTCCCGGCGACGCCTATCATCGTACAAAATAAGGTTGACAGCCATTCTATTGTGTATTATAGTATTCTATGTTCACAGCTATGCCAAAATAGGTGGCGCTGTAGTCCACTGTTATTAATAAATTTTATATAATATGTACACTGAACTGTTGCGAGTGAAACACATCGCCACTCCTACCGGAATGAACGGAACAATGCTTGCCATAACAGTTACATAAAATGTATATATAATAAACATATTCTACCTGCTTGGGTTTATCTCCTCAGCAACTACAGACTTGTAGAAGGAGTGCCAACTAATTTTCTGAACAGAGTTATCAATGTGTTCAAACGCCCATTCCAAGATATACGGCGCTTCTGTTACGTGCTGCAGGTTTAAACTGGAAACAAGTTATAAACTGTAAGGATACAAAATACTAGCCCTACATTGAAATGCACATAGTTTTGAAGGAAATCATTGAACATATTATATTTTACAGGCCAGTGGTTATATTTTTAAAAACATTATATGTATATATATATATATATATATATATACATAAACATAAACACTCACGCCTGTCACCCAGAAGGGTAGGCAGAGACTACGGACTTCCATTTGGAACGATCCTGACATACCTCTTTCGCCTCCTTTACATCCATATATCTACGCATACATGCTCGTCAGTTAAGGGTACTTCTAACGTGGCCCATTTTCAAGATATCGCCAATTTGGTCGAAAAACTTTTTTCTAGGGCGTCCCTTCCCGACTCTGCCATTAACATCTGCCATATAAATTTGCTTTGTCACTCTTTCCTCATTCATTCTTTCTACATGAGCAAACCACCGAAGCATACCTTTCTTAATCCTGGTCACATCATCTTGCATACCTCATTTATCTCTTATCACGCAATTCCTGTCATTCAGATTCAACCCTAGCATACTCCTTAAAGACCGCATTTCTACAGCATTTGTTCTACTTTCGTGCTTCTTCTGCCACACCCAGCTTTCACTACCATACATTAAAGTAGGGACTAATACAGCATTATGAATTAACATACGTGCCTTTTTTGACACATTCTGATTCTTCATAATAAAGTGTAGTGCCCCATTCACTCTTTTCATCTCATATCTCTTATCATATCTACCATCCCTGCTAAATGCACATCCCAAATACACAAACTCATCCACTTGCTCAATTACCTCTCCTTCTATTCTTATTTCACATACCGTTTTGTTTTCTTCTCTTCCAAAAACCCAATATATATATATATATATATATATATATATATATATATATACAAGGTGTAAGTGTAAACATCGTTGTCACTAAAACCATCGGTAGTTGGCTTTAATATAAAAATATTTATACGATTTTTTAAAAAAACCGCTATTTTCATCACTATAAAGATCACCGCCCGCGCTAGCTACCACTTTCATCCTGGCTTAGGACAGGCAAAAATTGAGGAATTAAGGAAAAATTGAGAACTAACTAAAGAAAATTTTATTTTCCATTGAATTTACGTTCTATAAGTGAAATCAAACCACTGGTTTCAAGGATAACGGTGCTTACAGTAACATCCTGTATATATATATATAACGACTGACTCCATCACTCTTCACAAGTACTCCCAAAACGATAGGCCCGATTGAGTTGAAATTTGCCATATACGAGTACTCCCTTCTCGACTTAGACACCCACTAAAACAGGATTTTAAAAATTCCTGAGAAGGTGTCTTCCTGCATGTGACATGTCTGTGTAATGTGAAGGGTGTAAACCTGCATGTCTGAGGAATAAGAAAAAAATTATTTCGAAGACGTGTGAAGTTCGCCAACACGCAATGGGGCAGCGCGGCGGATACTTTCTTGCCCTAAAACCCTCCCAGAAATGAGGGGAGGCCTGTGCACAGCAGTGGGACGTATATAGGCTGTAACTTTTACTTTTATAATACTCTAGAAACTGATATACTTTTAATTAAAACTAACTTTTCGATTAAACAACACTGTGTAACGAAAAATTTCACCTCAGCCTCAACTAGCGACATCTGATGAGCGGAAGATTATTAGCCCATATTGACGAAAAAAACGAGAAAGACCTCCTTTTTTATTTAAGTTGGCTAAAAAGTATAATCAACAACACACAAATAAATTTAAACGAAAATAAGACTATAACGTAAAGAAATCTTACGTAAAATGATGACCAGCCGACAAAGGGTAGAGTCTGGCTGTCGGTGTGCGTACGTTGGCACAGAAACCTCTGCTGTTGTACTCACACTGAAGCACGCCCACTCGAACGAACTCCAATGGACGAAGCTGAAATTAAACAATTTTTTATTTAATGTTGCAGAACCACGCTGCAGTATAAATGGATCGGCTCGATCGGGAAAGGATCACGCTCATGGCGGCTCTACACGTTGGCCAACATAGTGGCGAATGTTGTGGCAAAGATATTATCAGCCAAGAGTTCTTGATAGCGTCCAGACGTTGGCAAGTGGTTCAGTTTGCTTCAGTTCAGGCCAATATGCAGACGAATTTATTAAAAGGGACTCGCTAACAGGTGCTGCGGTTTATTTAATCACATAAACCGCTATTACGTGAATGTGTATATCATCAATACAGCCCTTCACAAGTCCAGTGCTGAACATAGGCCTAGGAATGTGTATAAGAAATTATTATTTTAATTGATTTTTTATTTTTGTGATTTTTATTTCTTGGATTCCACATACAATTTTCGGTTTTGTAGAGCTCTATAAAGCGAAAAGATTTTCCATTGATCATTGTTATTGCCATTTTGAAGACACTAGTTACGAAGCGTGAATATAAAACTTAAATCAGGTGCGTGCAATCACTCTGGGAGCTCGTAGCAAACTAAACGCACGCCCAACGTGTGGACGCGGCGGCCAAACCGGGTTTCGATTTTTTTGTAAATAACCAACACCACATGGATCTCGCGCCAACTTGTGTGCCATTATTCCAACACATACCAAGGTAAGCTCAAACACCCGCTCTACACGATGGCCACTGCTATTGGCCACGACATTCGCCGCTATGTTGTCCAACGTGTAGAGCCGCCGTCACACAGAATACCAACGTGAAATAACAGCTGTTATTTCACGTTGGTATTCTATGCTCCTGTATTTCGAATGTTAGTGAAGAGAACAAACTCTTTCTCCTTAAACGATGCATTTCACTCCAGTACTCACTTGTGACAAAGCATCTGCATTTTAATACTTCATCGAGGATAAATATAGGCGTCGCAGCATCCACTTACCATCAGGTAGACTGTATGCATGTCACCCTGACTTCTTTATAAAATGAATTTAATGATTTCTTAAATTTACGCGAACACTACACATTGAATAAAACTAAATTTACGGATTCTATCGCGTTTATTTAACTGATTTTACTTATTTTTAATTCCCGACGTTTCGGTCAGTCAGTGCCATGATCATGGGTGCTGTAAAGCACCCGAAACGTCGGGAATTAAAAATAAGTAAAATCAGTTAAATAAACGCGATAAAATCCGTAAATTTAGTTTTATTCAAAATGAATTTAGTTTATTAAAAATTAAAATATAATATTTTAGTCACTTCTAGTATAGGGTTGTATCGATGCTCCTACTCCGTATCAGCCCATACTAGGGCACAGGACATGGACTTCTTACATTGTATGTGTAGTAGGTAGTAGTAGGGAGAATTGCTGTACTCGCCACACTTCATATTATAACTTCGAATAGGTAGCAGTATTTTGTATGATACATATTATTATTGCTATGTAATGTTTTAAAAACATATATTTTTTGCCGACTTAAAAGGAGGAGGTATTCAATTCGACTGTGTTTTTTTATGTGTGTTACCTCAATAACTTTTCTCTGAGTAAACCGATTTTGATGATTCTTTTTTATCTGAAAGCTGGTGCTTCTCGTATAATCCCAAAAAAATTTAATAAAGAACTCACCAGTGGTTTTTGAGTAATCTGTAATAATGTGTATTTAATTGACTTCGAATACATCGATTCAGTCGTATTGAAGTCGGTTGTACAAAATTTTTAATTTTACCACTTGTTTATTAAGTTGCTTACAAAATTTAAGTGACAAAGAAAGTTACAGTTCATCACAGTACACACACCCGCAACCAACTTTAAATAAAAGAGGCTACAGATGTGTTGTCGCCCCTGAACACTAAAGGCCTTCAGCCTCACAGCCTGTAATTACACTGGCTCCCTATACCCTTCAGACCAGAACAAAGCAATGCAAGTACTGATTGATATTTGGCAGCAGAAATAGTTAAATTAACCTACCTAGCAGAAGTTACCGATTATGAGAATAAATAAATACAATTATAAATACTAAATAATACAATTGGACTTTTTAAACTATAGTGTTGAGACAACCCTAGGCTTAGTGACGTCAGCTTTTAGACAAACATCAAACCAGTTTACCCTTCAAACTGGAATTCATCAGAAGGTGCACTGCAACTTGGGTGTCAGGTGCTCACAGACAGAAGAAGCGTCTTACCACATAAGATCTCTACAGAGTATAAAACCAAGTCGCTTCCCGCCTATCTGTACGCTTAGATTTTTGTAACCTCGCAATGGATTTTGATGCAGTTTTCAATGATTCAAGAGTAAAGATTTTTTTAATAGAATATGGGTAACAAACAAGCACACAGTCCACCTGAAGGTAAGTGGATGCTGTGACTCATAGACATCTTCATTTATCCTCGATCAAGAATTAAAATTCAGATGCATTTTCACCCCTGAGGACTAAGAAGTAATACCTTGTTTCCAGTAAAAAGGGTCACTGGTTCTCTACGCTCACCACACGAAACACAGCAGCCTTAAGCTGTATTTTACATTGGTATTCTGTGAGTTTGATCCCACCCTTGTCAAGCTGACCCATTTGTGCTACAACTAATATAGCTGCAGCGTGGCTGTACCACATATAAATTGTTTATTTAATGGTTTATATATATAATACATGCATATGTTGTAGAGATCCAAAAATCACCCGTGCGAATCCGGGGTGGATCGCTAGTTATGAAATATTACGTAAGCAAAAACTTCAGGGTTTTATTCTGCTTTTAACTAAAAAGTGATCGTTAGTTACCGGTTTTTATTAAAAATATTTCTTCATCTTCATTCAAAAGTCAATTATAATCACACAAAAATTAAAATTATTATTTAAAATGTTTATTGCTTATTAATTATTATTGTAATACCTTCTTAGCAATTATCCTCCATTCATGTTCTAGCTCGTCACAGGGTCTACCACACCCAGCTGGTAAGTGAGCCACTAACCAGCTGTGTTCTCTACTTGATACATCTAAAATCTCTAATATTTTCTGTTCACTTAACGCCAAGCCTATGGAATAAAGATTTTTTTTTAATATAATTCTAGCTGCAAAAAAAATTCAGATTATAATATTTGTCTCCGGTCATATATGATAAAATACCTAAAAGTCGGAAAGAATTGCCGCTATCAATATTTAAAAAAGGCTTCTAAACGTTTTAACAGTCATAGCATTCTATAAGGTAACAGAATTCTTGACTGACAAAAAAATTCTTTTGTGCTTAAGACTGTACAATATTCGAAATCAGAAATATGTTTGGGATTGTGTTATTTTCCTGTTGTGATTTTTTTTTGTTAAAGTTTAGAAGATTAGTTTAGTGGATTAGTTTACCTATATTATCATGTACCCACGTTTGCAAAATAAAATATTCTTTATGTTTATCAATTATTATAGAATGTTTTCATGTAGATATTTTTTCTAGCCCAATAGACCATATAGACCGTATTATGTAAACGAGTGATTTTGCAGAAATTTCTCAGCCCACAACTGGTGCTTAGTTCTTGCGATCATACACTTTAAGTTTTATTATAAAAAAATGGTTTATGGCATTGCGCCTCAGGTTCTGAAAGAAATCAGGCGGAAACATACGAACTAGCAAGTTAATGTATGGAATTTGACAAAAGTATCAAATTTCGTGAAAATTATGGCACTGCGTCTAAGGAACGTTTTCAGTATTTTTCTCTATTTATTTGATAACAATCTTACGCTACTTGAATTTATATTTAACGGTATAAACATAAGCTATACAGCTATATCGTAAACGATAGAAGGAATCCGTTAGAATGGCTATTCTTTAACCATAGTTTAAGCCCAAGTCTATCAATAAACCACATTTTGTTATGAACACTTTCTGTCTTATTACTTGTGAAAACACTTTTGTTGAATGTATTTAGATTTACGTAGCTTAATACGTACTAGCACTGTCCTTCAGAAGTTGGATAAATTCGACAAGCTGCTCCTCGTCGATGCGTCCGTTGTACGCATGTTTCTTGGTGCCATTCTGTACGAAGATGGTCGGCTGGTTGTAAGTCAACTGACGGCAGTACTGCTCAGTATTTAACGTGCACGCCATTATTCCAAACTGGAAGTAGAATTGGTATAAAGAATAACTAGAATAAATTATGTATTCATGTGCAAGTGTAGAAAATTGTAGTGTAATTATTAATATTGTTTAGGCATTTACTTATTAATTCATTGCAAGAAAGCAAATTACATAATATCTACAATATAATATTTATTTCGTTTAGGTTTTCGATTTTGTTTTTTAAAGTACAATCTCTTTATATAAAACTCAATTGCTCTCGCTAAAAGTCGAAAACGACGTGTATGACCTGATGATTTTTTTTGTGTGCATTTGAGCGGGATGATCTAAACGATTGACAATTGGACCCGGTACATGGCGCTGTTGTAGAAATCCAGAAATCACCCGTACGAAGCCGGGGCAGATCGCTAGTTACTTATATTTATTATACTGTATTTACTGTTACGCTGTATTAATTATACTGTTATTTTTATCATACCGTACCACAGAATAAATAATAGTACTATGTACAGAAGTTACACTCTTTTGATGTTGACTGCTTGCCGACGTTTAATAGCCTACATAATTTTTATTAATAAGATAAATTGCACGAAGCTAAATAAACCTTTATCGCTGCGCGCGAGTGTCCGTATTACTTTGCATCTTTTCCACTTCCCACATCACGGCTGTTTTTCCGTGGTTACTTAGGGCTGTCAAGAAAGAGTAAAAACAACTCAATATTCAAGAACAATTCGTATACAATATATGAATAAGAATCACTACCCTCTCCAATTTCACGCTAATCTTCAAAGGTGATTTGATTCCACATTTAATTAAGTGGAATATAGGAACAGGCAATAATATCGCAATATCCGCACAGAAAAATAAAAAAGTGATATTGCACCATATAAAAAACACATGTAAGTAGGTACTTATTTAGCTTATAATATGTATTAATATATGTTCGTTTATCTACTATTTATGCACACTTCTATTTACGGATCTCCTTCACTAAGGCATAGAATAAATAATATGTAGTACTATGTTACCAAGGTTTGCCTGGCTACTGTTAAGCCAGGCCACCTAATTGTACATAAATTTATAAATTAAGGTTGGTGTGTTATTGTAATATGTTGTGTGCAATAATAAGTATAAATAAATTAATTAATTATTTAATATGTTGCGAAATGGCAAGTAAAATAGGTAAGGTACCCACTCTGACTGATCGAATGAACTTATTATACATTACATATGCGAATTCTGTGCCTAATGGTACTGACAGACGTGCTCGAAAAAAGCATGTTCATAAGCTTGCTTAAAATTAGCATGGTCTGCAACTGATTTCATTTGTCAGCAATAAGCACGCTTAAAGCATACTAAATAACCATACTCAAAACAAACTTTGGACAGACGTGCTATTTAGCACCAGGCTCTCGACCAAAATGGATCTACAAAGATATAGTGACAGTGCTATCCGTACAGAACTCGATAAAATAATCATAAGCAAACCTGTTCAGACGCGCTCGGAGCACGCTCTTCTACCCGCGCCTAAGGTAGCATGCTCATTGAACATGCTCAAAATAAGCATGCTCATTAATGGCAATGTGGCGACACACGTGCTACTAATGAAGTGCTCAATAAAAGCATGCTTTCGTGCTAGTAATGAGCACGTCTGTCCGTACCTTTACGCATGCATCTTACAAGGTCACTCGTCGCGAATCGCGATTTAATAAATCGCTCGGAAGAAATAGGTAGGTAGTGTAAACAACAAATAAACCCGAAATACGATTCCGAAATGAAATGTGATTCTAATTAGTTAAAAATCCTGTAAACAAAGTTTTAATTACAGTGCTTTGTGTTATTATAACTTAAAATATTTTAATTACAAAAGACTTGTAAGTTACCTACTTAGATAATAAAGTAGATTTCAACTAAGTTTTGAAATAAAGTACTTAGGTAATATTTCTTTTAAATTATTACTTAATTATTTTTTGCTATCAGTATTTATTTAACAAGAAAATTAAATAAATGTACCTTTCATTATCCTTAGGTAACATAAAAAATCTGAATACTTTTGTTTGCTCATTGAGCATCCATCCCCGCAACAATTATAGATTCGAAGTTTTGCCATTATAATTTATCAGATAGATAGGCACACATATATTATTTTGAAATCACATTAAAAATTTTGATCGATTTTATCCTACAATTAAATATACTAAACATTACACAAAAATTACAACAAGTGTTTACAAAAAACTTTTTACGTAAACAGCGTTAAAATTCATAGATCGCCTACAACACGCTACCGACTGCGTATTAAACCGTCAGTGACTCGCGATTTAATGTAATTATTTCACGCAGGTAGCAAAAGTGACCGAGCGCTGACCATACGTATATTTTATTTTAATGTAATGAAATTATCGAAACACATTAAAAACAAAATTTATAACTATTTGTAACATGATTAACATGATTCTTCGTTATCCAAAGGCCTCATTTAAACTAGATATAGAGTTTCTTATAGCACTATTATAAATAATACATACAGAGCACACTTACGCTGATGTCATCTGAATCGGCAAATTGCAAGCTGGCATCGGTAAAGGGATCCGCAATGTGTTCCCAGGACATCTTGTACGGCACAACTAGCAACACCCACATGCCCACATCTGTCAACATTAACAAACGGACTTGTTTATGTTTTGAAATCCTACTGTATCGATGTCCTATGACTGACAATTCTCGAATACTTCCAAAACTTTCAGCCGTAAAGAAAATATTAGTGCACAAGGGAACAACTAAGCAAAAGCACTCACGCGTCGTAAATTACCTGCGTCAGATGTAACGTTTATGCAATAAGAACAAAGGTAGGGATTACGATGTACAGACACCGTGGACAATTAAAACACAACTGGATTCCAAAAAAAGCAATTTAATATTGCACAAATGTTGACCATGGATTTGATCCAATATAATGGCCTGTGCCCAGGTGTGGGACGTATATAGGCTGTAACTTTTAACTTTTTTAATTTTAATAAAAAATTGCGATTGCCAATGCGCCTGCCAAGCGTGGCAACTATGTCCAATATCCCTACTATAAGGCGGCCTTATGTTTAGTAGCGGATGGTGAAGTGACACCAATTATAGTGATGGTCACTTGCGCTGTAAATATTTTCGACTTAATTTGCCAGAATGAAGCTATCTGATTGGTTTGTTCCTCATTCAGAAACCAGTGATTCACAATCGTCTAATTAGTTAAAAAACGAATCAGAGGAAACTAGCTCCACCAAATAAGTGCAGACTCCTGCACTGCAAATCGTTCCCAATAAGTCGAAATTATTGCTATATAGTGGACTCCATACACTGTTGGAGTTGAGAGTTAGTAAGAATTAAAAAGAAGATCACTCACCGCCGTCCAATATTCTTCGTAACTCGGAAGCGGATAGTGTGTGTAAATTCTGAGCATTCGCTGAACGAGAAATAAAAGTGGCTGCTGACATTTTTTCCGGTGCCCGTTGGTATGTACCTCCGCGTTTAAGTAATGCCCAAGATGGCGTTGATTCTATCTGAAGCGAGTCGCATAGTTCCCTTTGCGATTTGCAGTTGATTTCACCTGGACACAGAACATTTTGATACACAAATATATATTTAATATTGAATTATTATAGTTTATATTATTGTTTCCTTATTGTGGTAATTGATTATGCCACTCTCGTTAATTATTACATCGTTCCAATTTAATTAGTAATTTCCAAGACTAACTATTTTATATAGAGCCATTGCTAAATCAATAACTATTATAAAACACTGTTTTTCTTATGGTTGCCATCTTTTCTAGAGAAAAAATATAATACAAGTTGCCTGGTGTATAATAGCGGAGCTGACGGCCATTAAAAAAACTGATTATGATAAGCTTAACAAAGAGGTAGAGAGTAATAATACAGCTCCATGGCGAAGTGGCATAGCAATGAGTGGCTGCGCTGGGGGCCGCGGGTTCGAATCCCGCACGGAACAAGTATTTGTATGGCCTACAAATAATTGTTCCGTGTCTGGATATTTGTCCAGAGATCAATCGATGAGAAAATCCTGGTGTGGTGGTAACGATTAAAAAAAACCAAATAATATATGCTATATTTTAGCTGAAATACATATAAGTTCTTTTTTATATTGAAATAGAAAAACTGATAAAATAAATGGTTTCCCATGATTATCGCATAAACTAAACGGCTCAAACGGCTAAAATTCATAAAAATCGACGTCAAAAAATGCATAAAGTTGCTCTTTCTCTCTTCAATAAACGAGAATAGATAAGAGTTAATTAATGCTCAATGTAAGTAAGCGATAATCAACGATTTGAATTAAGTTACGTTATTTTAATTAAAATCTTTGCCAGTAACTAAAATCGCCGATATAGTTATATAAAATTTTTGAATATAACTTTACCAGTTTCACACAAAAAAGGCCCTAACACTTTCTCTTCTATTTCTTAAAGTTTTAATGTAAAATCGGTTTTAACATGTTTTACTTTAATACAATTTTAGAACAAAACTTAAATAAAAAGGTTAGATTGACTTGAAATTAATGGATGTTCAATCTTTAATTTAACCATTTTCTCATATCGAAATAGTTTTAGAGATAATAACAAAATACTGCCGCTTGGTAGCTGAGAGGTTAAAGTGTCGATAGTTGAACTACTTACCCAAAGACCACGTTTACGTCGGCAAGAGTTCCATCTTAATTTTTCAGATTTTATGTTGAAATTACAGAGTTAAAAGGATAAATTTATTCTTTTAACTCCGTAATTTCCAACATTCATTCAACAATTCTTTTGAGGATGTTGACTAACTATTTTTCACATGTTTATTCATAAAATAAAATTATGCAAAATAATAATGTACTCCAGACCAAATTTCGGTCACGGCGGCCAGCCAATTCAACGGATACTAGCCATCGGCGCAGGACACGATTATATTGCCCAAGTGTATGCGCAAGCACAGGTGCACCCTCCATTCCCTTACTCTCCTAACCTGATGGGATGGTAAACCAACACAACCGGAGGGAGATCAGGCGTTAGACCAACGGCTTTACATGCTTTCCGAGGCACGGGGGTGGAACACCGCCAATTTCATGACTTTGAGCAGCTATTGAGAATTTCTCAATGGAAAAGCTTAACAATTGATTTTATTTTGGCTCGATCCGGGATTCGAACCCGGGACCTGATGTTCAGCAGTTGCACTGTTGCAACCACTAGACCAACAAGACAGTATTCTGCAAAGTAATGCGATAGAAGCTATAATATGGTTGAGGGTACGGAATGTGAAAATGAAATCATGAGTACCCGACATTCGACTACCATGGTGAACATACTTCTAGCACAAGTATTTTAGCTTATATAGAGTGGTCAACAGGTATATTAGTAGTGGTAAAAGCACCTTTATTTAATGATTTCTTATATTTACGCGAACACTACACATTGAAATAATACTAGTTTTTTACGGAATTTATCGCGTATATTTAACTTTTTTACCCGACGTTTCGAGCACGAGGGATCTGTGACAGTAAACACCTGGCTGCCGAGCTCCAACATGTCAAGCAAGTTTTGCATGACAACAAGCTTCGGGTCCCGCGCCTACGTCACAGAGAACGAGTGAAGCCGGCCACAGTCGAGCGTGTACCTGCTGTACTGCCATATGTTAGAGGAGTCACTGACAAGATTGGCTACATCTTGAAGCGCGCTTCCATCAAAACATACTTCAAGCCGCCAAAGAAGATTGGTCAGTTTTTACCATCAGTCAAGTGTAACGTCCCTCTGCAAGATGCAGGAGTGTACAAGCTTGATTGTGAATGTGGTCTCTCCTACATAGGACAAACTAAAAGATCCATTAAAACCCGCGTCAAAGAACATATAGCTGATGTGAAGAATCGACGCTCCGGGAAGTCTGCAGTCTGTGAACATGTACAGGATCGCCCCCGTCACTACATCAGATTTGATAGACCACAAATCCTCGCTAAAGAACACCGATTCCTTCCAAGGATGATTCGCGAGGCTATTGAAATCAAAAAACATCCTAATTTCAATAGAGAAGATGGCTGGGTGCTACCATCTGCTTGGGATCCTATAATAAATAAAATTAAATCCCAACCCAAGCATACAACTGCAAGACTCCATGATACCATAAGTTCATACTGTGTAGATCGGAACAAAAGTTAAATTTTAATCTATGGTAACCGCGGTTAACTATGACAGCTGGACGTTGAACATCTCAGTCCTTCCCGTGACCATGGGTACTGTAAAGCTCTCGAAACGTCGGGTAATTAAAAATTTAAATATACGCGATAAATTCCGTAAAAAACTAGTATTATTTCAAAGCACCTTTATTGTTGCTTTTAAAAAATTTATGGACAAACTTCATTAATATATGTTTCTATACGCCATATTGTAAAGTAATAATTATATGAGTAATATTCACCAAAGTGCATATTTGGGAACTGAATTCTCATTTGATGCAACTGCAACTTGTCATCATCTTCAGTGGAGAAGTACAGCACCCATGGAGTTATATGGCCGCTACGAAGTTTGTTTCTGATATTCTGTAAATAAAATTACTTTGCACAAAATATCACATGGTTAAATCCCCTATCATATTAGAAAGAAAGTAATAAATTACGAAATGCATGTTGCAAATAACTGCAAACATAAATAAATACATGACAATGACTTTGTGATTAACGCATATTCAAAAAGAATGGAAGAAGCTAACACCCAGTAGTGGACTATTAGACTAATGACAAAGAAAGAAAAAAAATGAAACATAAATTGGATGTACCTTCAACTCTTCAGGTCCAATTTGTTCAAATTTCGGCAACGCATCAACTATTTCCTTGAGTATCGTTTTCTCATCGCTGCTCGATATTTCTTTTTTAATTTCATTGTATTTAAAAACAGCCACAGTTTCAGGGTCCTTTGATAATTTTTCTCGAAGGATTTCGTCTTCGACTATCACAACTGTTGCCAGCCCTTTCTATTAAGATAAAGCATTTTCTAAGCAAGGAAGGTAAACTCTTTTTTATTTTAAATATTGGAGTAGGAAATAGTTCACTATGCTGAATATTGTATATTGGCGGACATTAAAAATTCTGTAAATATTTTTAATTCCTGCAACATCACATTATAGTGTGATATTTTCGTTGTCAACTGAACATGTAGCATTTTTATATTAATTTCAGTGGTAATCATATGAACAACCCATATGATTTCAACTCTTATTTTCGGCTAAGTACTGTAAAATATTTAGGCGAGCTTTCGCTCCCAGATCTTACGGCAACATTAATATAATGTTCATACTATTTGTTGAACAAGTTGAACCAAAAGATATAAAGAGGATCCTAGTTACAAACAAGTAGACAAGTCCGCCTCATGATAAGTGGATGGTGTGCAGTGCTGTGTTTAATGGTAATTTGGGAAATATTTCTTGCATGTCTTCATGGTAGGGTTTTTATTTATTCATAAAATGTCACCAATTTATAATGGATTTGGTTGAAAAGTGGAACCACCTTGGTTGACTTCTGTCATGGACGACAGTCATACCTTGTCAATCAATTTGCAGAAATTGATTCCATTAATCACATCAAAACCATTGAGAAAATGTTCAGATGCTACAAAGTGTTTCTGCTTGTTGTAAAATCGGTAGAAATTTTCTTATTTAATATATCTTTGTCTAATTTTTCTTTTTCTCTATGGTAATCGAAAGGCCTATGTTCCTTATAAACTCAAGACATTTTCATGGTAAACTCGCCAATTGTAAATTTGGCTCTGACAACACTGACACATACATTGATCTTCAGGTAAAAATTTAAATATTAAGCAATGGACTTTAATAGACTGTAATAGTAAAAATGTCATCTACTTTGGGACATCAACTGGCAATGCCAGTTTTAAATCATTTCCATAATTCAGTTTATTGATAAAATGACTTACCAAATGAAAAGCAATCCTAGTCAATGCATATTCCTCTATATTATGAGATCCAAGAACATATACAATTGGTTTGTCACCATTTCTCAGCTGCCTTATTACAGGTACATGCATTAGGTTCTGCAGAAACGACATAACAAACTCCTCCAGTGCTCTAAGTGTGTGCTCACCTCTGTAATAAACATAGTTGCCTTGTTTACCCTGCAAGTAAAAATAGAGCACATATATTTTAACCATTATTTATCTATTAAATGAAACTAATTTTTACAGATAGAGAGAGAACTTTTTAACTCCCGACGTTACGTAAAGTAACGTGAAAATGAGGTGTTTGACGTTCAGATGTCATAGTTAGACTGGCTACCTTCAGTTTTTAAATATTAATCTTTGATCCTATTTACGCAGTGAATTTACAGTATCTTGAAGTCTTGCAGTGGTACACTTGGGTTTGGATTTAATTTTATTAATTATAGAATTATTTGTAGAGGGATATTGCAGTTGATGGATGGTAAAAATTGACTAATCTTCTTCGGCGACTTGTAGCAGATTTTAATGGAAGCTTGCTTCAAGGTGTGGCCAACCAGTGACGAAGCTAGAGCTCAAAACTAGGGCAAGCCCAAGATATAAATTGATAAAAATATAGATTGTTGTTTTTAGCAGTTTTATAAAAATACACCAATCTTGATCTATCTCCACGCTTCAGTTTCATATTCAGTGCTGTCAAGGACGTGTTTAACAAAGCACACAAAAGGCATACCACTGCTAGATAGATTGTATTACATATCAGCAATTGCATAGCTTCAGTGACTTTGAAGAAAGCCGTTTGGGTTTGTTTAAGCGAAAGAAAAAAATATTTACATCCAATACAATACATGAACAAAAGTATAAACAAACTATGTACAAAATTAAAAAAAAAATTATTTACATTCTAATGGATAAGAGATAAGATAAGTGGAATCGTCTTGCTTTCTTGAGGAAAGATTTAATTACGTGCACATAAAATGTTGGTGAACGTTTTAATTGTATCAATAACTGTTTTTAATTGCGATAATTGATAAGTCTGAAATACACTCTTGACCTTGTGTATTATCTCAACAAAGTTTAAAGATTTTACCTTTTCCTCTCCGATTAGCACTTTAACACACTTAAATTCATCACAAAAAACACTATTATCCTCCATTTTCACTAAAAATCTTTAAAAAAGCATAAATTTTGAACTCGCAATATTAAATTGCTTAAGCTAAACACAAGAGTAAATAAACATTGAAATGTGAAATGAACTTGCAACAAACTCCGCTTTTGACAAATTCCTAAAGCCTGGCTTTAAATCTCTATACTCATTGCTATATGTACAATCGTAATTATATTTCCCTATAGAATATTTTGCCATAGGTTAGAAAGAGAGTGATCGTCTTCTCGAAAGCCCCTTAAAAAGCCCACTCGAGCAGAGACAACTAATCGCTTTATTAAAACTCATTTTTTATAAGAGCAGCAGTATCGCTAAGGCAATACGAGGTCATCGGTAGACATGTGTCAAACAGTGGAGTGCGTGGGAAATTTGAAATAGTTTGAAACAGTTTCAGAGTTATTTTATTAGTTGATATTATTGATTGATTCAGTTTGATAAGGCAAGCCCGGCTTATCGGCTTCTATAGAGACTTCGCCACTGTGGCCAATCTTGTCTGTGACTCCTCTGATGTGTGGTAGTACAGCAGGCACACGCTCGACAATTCTTCCAATACTTCTTCTAAAATACAGTGAAAGAATTGTGAGAAAAGAATAAGGCCTGAAAAGACAACTTTGTATACTTGTTATCTCAGCCAATTTGCACTAGGGCAACTTAATCATGATCTATTAATAATAATAGTCAAATCTCAAGCAAGCCTTTTTCGGTTAACATTAATGTGAGAGGAGTCTTTCTCCTTCTTCATTATTGGGCAGTAAAAGTCAGTGTTCTAAAAAATAAAGTTGTTAAGCAATAACAACAAAATTATGGTTACACATTAATAAAAAAGCATTTATTACTTACATTAGGATAGAACAGCAGTGATGGGTAGCTGCCTATCCTCATATTATGGTAGCAGAATGAACTGTGATATTTGCAATTCACAGCACCCACTTTTATCTGCAATATAAGCAAATAAGATTAAAATTATTTTCTCAAATTAAAAATGACTATTTAATAACAAACATTAAATGAAACTTACAATTCCTTTGTATTTTTCAGCTAACTTTTTCCAATGGTCAGCTAAGTTTTGACATGGTGGGCAAAATGGTGAGTAGAAGTTAACAAAATGATAACCCTCTGTTAAATGAGCATCTGAAATTAACATCATAATCTAAAAACAAAATTAATGATAATCTAAAAACAAATGTGAAGTTACAGAAAATAATATTGTACAAGAAGAACAATTTACAGTCCCGACTTTGAATGATGGTCTCAATGCTATTAGTGTATTACGAAGTTTTTTTTTTTTAATGAACAGTTTTACAACCAGGGCAAATATGTCGACACGCTAATTAAAATCCAACATGAGCTACAAAATTTGTACACACGATAAAAGTATTCCAGACTAAAATTACAGATGTCATGAATACAGAAAAATGATAATGTTCTGTCATATTATACATTTTATGTGAAATTCATATGTACCTACACATTCAATGATGCTACTTAACAAAAAAATTACTTTGTATTGTATCTTAAAAATATCACCAGTTGTTACAACTATCGATTCTTACAACCTAATATGAGTAGCACCTTTGATGTCATTTTAACAAATTTTGACCGTACATAATTGTGCCAGTAATAAAAAAATGGTGACTTACAAAAACTACTACTACTCAATGTAATGACATATGGATCATTATGATACAGGCCATTGTAAAATAGATTATTGTACTCAGATTGAGAGTGATAGTCATATTTTCTGGTATATGCTGAATGTGAACCATAAATATCATATTTGCGCCTTTTTTTCTGGATCTTTCAAAGTTTCATACGCCTCAGTCATTTTTATGAATTTTTCTTGTTCTTCTTCATTCTGCAAAACAAAATTTATCACCATTATTTTAGTAATGTATCTACTATTTAATGAATTTGCGAGAGCCATAGCTGCTAAATTAAAATTTTATAATGTCAGCATGCAGAGTTTAATCTTCAAGAGGTTTAAAACTACATTAACAACAATTTACATGAAAATTTACTATGTTTGGCAATGAAGGAAACACTGCACAAAATTAGCATGTCTAAGAACTAAAATGCGCAGAATTAGCTTGTCTAAGAACTAAAAAAAAATTTTTAGAGAAAATAGTTTGCAAACAAGCTTCAGCATCATGGCAGTCTTTTCACTACTAAAAAATCTTTCAGTAATAAGGCTTACACAAAGCAGTGGAACAACTCATTTGTTATCTGTTTTCATTTTTATTTATTTTTTATATTTAATACTTCATAACTAAATACTATGAAGACACAACGCCCACGCATGTTATAAATTAATTTTTAAGTTATATACCTAATGCATATTAATAATTATGTTTGAAGGAAATAAGAAGGAAGAAACAATATCGATACTTACAGAGTTTTTGTCGGGATGATACTTAATTGCCAGTTTTTTATATGCCTGTTTTATCTCCTGTGTTGTCGCTTGTTTAGATACCCCCAATATTTCGTAATATGTGACATCCATCAGATTAGCGGTATCAATTAGAAGAACGAAAAGGAATAATATCGGATACCTAATTTAAAACATTAAACTTGTAAATTAATACAAAATGTGACAAATAAACAACAGTTTATTAATATTATGGTATTTCTAAAAAAAATAAGTGATACACTTACATATTAGATATGCCCAGAAGAGCTAAACTAGATAATTCGTTTGGAAATATGTAAAAGTAATCTATTTATATATAGTATATATTTCAGAAAATATTTACATTAATTTTTATTTTACATGTTCTACAACCATCGATCACCGACATTACCGACCATTACCGACTATCACCGACTACCTTGTAAACAGACTATGTACTCACAGAGTACCTTTGTATAGATATACACTCTTATCCATAGATTACTGTATATATTCAAGTACGGTAGACAAGTGTCAATCATCCATTTCCAGTGACCGAATCTTTCTAGTACATTTTGTCACGCGTACTGGATCATTCAAATGGATCACTTCGGGCTCCAGTACTCTCTTGAGTCTGTGAGATCCATTGGGAACCGAATATTTTCTATTTGAGATTGGTAATAGCGCCATCTACTACATGCTATAGGTAAAAAAGTCATTTTATCGAACTAAAACTTATTGACTTTCAAGGATATCACAGGTTCACAGGATATGCGACTCAAACAGTAAAGAGAGAGAATGAAATAAATAGAGTATTTTTTTTTTTGCGCCCGAAGCAATTAAAGGGCTACCCTATACGTAGGGAGGCGGAAAATGCATTACGCATACCACGATAGCCGGTCTATCGTGGTTATGAGGGGCTCACTGTCCTACCGGGGACCCTAAGTGATACCCTCTAAAAACCGCCTTTGGGGACAGGCAACCGGCTGATTAAGCTCTATTGTGCCTTATCATGAGCGACCCTCTTTTGGGAAAAGAGGGCGCAGGCGGCTAAGTGCCGCTGAGGGAGTGCCTACGAAGGCAAATTAATGTTAGATATTACAATAATTTTATTTAATTAGAGTTGGCCTGAGCCGCCAGGAGACAGTTCAGGTCGTTTGAAAGTTTATTAGGCGGGTCCGAGAGAGAGTTTTTCGGCCTGCGGACACGATAGCGAGAGGGGGGGTGGGGCTGCATAAGAAGCTGCTTCACGAATTAAATGGTTTGGGTGCGACTCTGAGGCTTTGAAGAAGTTCTCAGAGAGTTTTTTAAGAAATTGTTGAATTGTTGGGAGATCTAAGTCCCGATGAAGGTCGGCATTACGGACGTACCACGGTGCGTTCGCAGCTCGACGACAGAAGAGGTTCTGAACTATTTGGAGTTCATTTAAAATGTTAGGGTTTGCGTGGGCAAAGACGGGGCCCGCGTAGGACATGACTGGTCGTATACATACCTTGTAGAGGGTACGCTTGTTTCGAAGGGACATTTTACTGTGTCGGCCCAACATACTGTTGAGCCTACTCAGATAAAACCGTGCGTGACGGGTTACTCTTTTGACGTGGGGCTTGAAAGTGAGCCCTGTGTCTAGAGTGACACCTAAATATTTGGCGGACGTATGCCAGGGGACAGGGATCCCTAGCATACGTATTGGTGGAGTGTTTTTGAGACGGCGTCGTTTATAATCGAAGTGGACGGCGGAGCTCTTCTCCGGGTTCACATCGATGCGCCATTTTTTGAACCAAGCTCCTAGGTCATCAACTGACTTTTGGATCTTGTTCCGTATGAAGGGTAGTGAGACACCTTTGCAGTAGATGGCAGTGTCGTCTGCGAAGAGGGAGAGTTGAACACCTTTCGACGGGATGGGAATGTCGTTGGTGAACAGGATGTACAGCAGAGGAGCAAGTACTGAGCCCTGAGGGACACCAGCCTTGATAGTTCGCTGTGAAGAAAGCGTGCCTTCGTGTCTGAAACGAAAGGTACGATGTTTTAAATAGGAGGCCACGAGACGAACTAGACGATCGGGGAGACCTATTTTATAGAGCTTGTAGATGAGGCCTGTGTGCCAGACTCTATCGAAAGCTTTGGCTATATCGAAAAAGACCGCGATGGTCTTATGACGACGAGGATAGAAACCGCTGAGGATATATTCCACAATGCGGTGAACTTGTTGGGGACATGAGTGTTTGGCTCGGAAGCCGAATTGATGGGGAATGATAAGAGGGTCGCCGTCTGTGGGAAACAGATAGCGCCTCATACGAATTTGGATGACTCTTTCGAAGAGCTTGCCCATTGCCTTGAGGAGGCTAATGGGGCGATGGCTGGAGGGGGAGGTTGAGAGGCTTGCCTGGCTTGGGAATTCCAATCACAGTAGCCTCTTTCCACGTTGTGGGAAAATAACTAAGGTTGAAGCAGGCGTTGAAGATAATAGATAAAAAAGGTTAACACCTGCTCGGGAAAGTGTTTTAGGGCTTGGTTGGAGATGCCATCCGCGCCCGGAGCCTTTTTTAGGCTTAAGTCCTTTGATGAGGGATGAAATTTCATCATTGGGCACAGAGATAGGTTCGGAGGCCGTGGGGGGTAAATAGAGTAGTTGATAGTTTTCTATACATACAAGAGTAGCGAATCATTTTGGCCGACCAACAACAAAACAAAACTTTTAAAAAGGGGCTGCGACTGTGTGTGCTGGAGCAGTTGGAGATTTTAAAAAGTAATAATGGTAATTATGCACTGCTAAATGAACAAACAAATGTTTCTAATTCACCTTTGTTAAATATCTTTAAGGCTAATCTTTAATAATCATTTTAAGATTAATAATAATAAAGAACTATAATAATATCAATAAAACAATAATAATAATAATAATAGTATTTAAAAATATTAATCATAACAATAATGATATTTAGTCGCAGGTTTGTTATCGCACGGCGCGGTCACTCGCCACTTTGGTGGGGAGCGATTGTGTCGGCGTGTATAAATAGCAGCTGTTTCGGCTCGCTGCTACGACCAGTCATGTCCTACGCGGGCCCCGTCTTTGCCCACGCAAACCCTAACATTATAAATGAACTCCAAATAGTTCAGAACCTCTCCTGCCGTCGAGCTGCGAACGCACCTTGGTACGTCCGTAATGCCGACCTTCATCGGGACTTAGAGCTCCCAACAATTCAACAATTCCTTAAAAAACTCTCTGAGAACTTCTTCAAAGTCTCAGAGTCGCACCCAAATCAATTAATTCGTGAGGCAGCTTCTTATGCAGCCCCACTGCCCTCTCGCTATCGTGTTCGCAGGCCGAGAAACTCTCTCTCGGACCCGCCTAATAAACTGTTAAACGACCTGAACTGTCTCCTGGCGGCTCAGGCCAACTCTAATTAAACTAAATTATTGTATTAACCAACTTTAATTTGCCTTCGTAGGCACTCCCTCAGCGGCACTTAGCCGCCTGCGCCCTCTTTTCCCAAAAGAGGGTCGCTTATGATAAGGCACAATAGAGCTTAATCAGCCGGTTGCCTGTCCCCAAAGGCGGTTTTTAGAGGGTATCACTTAGGGTCCCCGGTAGGACAGTGAGCCCCTCATAACCACGATAGACCGGCTATCGTGGTATGCGTAATGCATTTTCCGCCTCCCTACGTATAGGGTAGCCTTAATTGCTTCGGGCGCAAAAAAAAAAAACTCGCTGCTCTTTGCGCCCTCATTTCTGCCAAGGAGGGTCGCGTTCGTATACGGCTTAGAGATCTCTAGTCAGATCTTTAAGCCAATTCCTAAAAGGCGGTGTTTAGTGGGTAAAAGTCTCCACATAACCAACCACGCAGCCGGCTGCGTGGTATGCTATGAGCATTCACCGCCTCCCTCCCCCGCTTTCCGGAGGGTTGCCCATATTTGCTTCGGGCGCAAAAAAAAAACTCGCTGCTCACTTAGCGGTCAGCCGCCGTGGAGTCTATATTACCTGAGGATGCTTCGTGTAGAGGCGAAACACGTGTCGTATTATCGTCGATGGTGTGTTTTACCTGGAGTAGTGGTGCTGGGAGTAGTGGTGCTGGGAGTAGTGGTCCTGGTAGTAGTGGTGCTGGGAGTAGTGGTGCTGGGAGTAGTGGTGCTGGGAGTAGTGGTGACGGAGTTAGTGCATGCAATTGAGGGAGGGCGGGAGGTGCTCTTCAATCCAGGTTAGACACATCATTGTATTTATTTAGTGGAAGGTTGCAAAGAAATTTTTATTTTTTATGATAATAGATGGAGTAATATAATTTAACCGGAAGAATAATGTTTTTGATTTCTGTAAAAGAGTGGGGCGGAAATGATGTCGCCCCACCCTGCTAACGAGTGCGAAAGGTTGATTAGTAAATGGAGAGTGGCATTAGCTCAACTCGAGTCGTCGCAGTAAGACGTGAAGTAAAGTTGAATTGTGTATACATTTAAATTGTAAAGTGAACCAAAGTGTAATAGTTTGAATCTACCGTTTTGTTTTCTACCTGGACTCGAAATAGTATTCTGGAAAGTGTAATAGTTGGAATCAACCCTTTTATTTTCTACCTGATCTTGAAATAGTACAACAGATCAGAAGTTGGATAAACAAGATACATATTAATAATCTTGCCACGTGCACCGCTCGAATAATGTAAGTATTTTTTCGTGTATATAAATTGATATTTCGCATATTTTCCTACTAAGTATAACTGTAATTTTTGGTTTTAAAGTTTGATGAAGAATGAAATTAGACCATTTATATGCTTAGTTTTTTTTTATTATTCTACCGTCTTTTTTTTCGTATAAGTCGCGAAAATTAAAAACGTAATACTGATAATGAAACTCTGTTTCGTTTGATAATACACGACATTATGAAAACGAAATAAATTTGTCAATGTTATAACTATTGCAGTATGATGAATCTGTACCAATAATAAATATGAGTAAAATAACCTACACGGCTTAACTATTTAATGTGCAACTTTTAAAATGAAGGTCAGGTTATTATTATAGAATTAATTTGCTATGTACATTAAAAGAAAATCTCTGGGCAAATTCTAAGGTTACACCTGTAAGTTTCAGATAATCGGAGCTATTATGTATGATGAATTTGCTCAAGCACAAGAGAGAGGACGGATGACCCGAGGTAAGGGTTGAATGAGATTAGTGATGATGCGACCAGTCGAGGGGAAGGACTGGCGCATCCATCTAATCAAGGTGCACCCAGGACAGTTTGCTCAAGGACAAGAGCAAGGGCGGATGACCCTAGGTAAGGGTTGAATGAGATTAGTGATGATGCGACCAGTCGAGAAGGACTGGCGCATCTATCTTATCAAGGAGCAACCAGGATAGAGGTGCAAGAAAGGAATTTCAGCCCGGTATTGATAATGCATTCTATAATAGTAGAATATATGAAATGTTC